TTGCCATAAAATTTAGAGTTGGACTGATGAAACCTAACACTGGACAAATACTAATGGCCTCCATTCTCAGGTTCATCTGGAACAAGTTCATTGTTAGAGGAAGATGCAAGGCATGGATTTGAATTACAAAAGGCTTGGACTTGAATTCCAGCCAGCATCACTGTGGCTTGTTGCAGTGGTTTGGCAGCACATAAAAGTCTACCTCAGAAATAGATGGCCCATAGCCATGGGGTCCTTGATTGTACAGTTTGGTTCTGTGTTCTGAGTATATAACTCAGCCTGGTGGCATTGATGGATTCACCTGGAGCTGGTACAGCCATGGTGATTGCCCAGAGGTAGGCAGAATTCCTCAGTAACCTAAGTTACCAAGCACAGAGTCCTACTCTAGCTCCAGAATCCACAAATTTATTGTAATCCCTGAATGGTCAAAACCATTTTGAGCAAAAACAATATAAAAAAATAGAAGGCATTATACTTCCAGAATTTAAAACATACAAAAAAACTGTAGACATCAAAACAGCATGTTATTTTAAAAAATATTCGGAGACCAATAGAATAGAAAACATAGAAGTAAATGGATCCATCTTAGGCAATGAATTTCTGACAAAGATGCTAGAAGCATACATTGGAGAATAAAAAATCTTTTCAAAAAGTGGTTCAAAAAATTGGTTATTGACATGTATATGAATAAATCCAGACACCTCTCTCTCTTATTTTAAATTTAAATCAAAATGGATTAAATACTTAAATGGAAGGTCTAAAACTACAAAACCATCAGAAGAAAAATAAGAAAATTCCTTAGGACCCATAGCCCACAGAAAACAAAAATTGAAAAGAAGACATAAACGAGGTTATAATTAAATAAAAATCATCTGCCACACAGAGAAACCAATATTCAATCTACATCATGAGAAAATTAAGGCAAATTATACATCTGACAAGGGACTGACATTCAGGTAAGGATGCCAAAAACTCAACAACAAACAAAACAAAAACCTGATTTAAAAATAGGCAATAGACACTTCTCAAAAAACAAAACAAAACACGCATACAGTCAGCAGGTATACAAAAAATGCTCAGGATTGTTAATCATCAGAGAAATGCAAATCAAGGTCATGATGAGACATAGCCTCATTTCAGTAAGAATTGTCCAAAAAAAAGATAACAAGTACTATACTGTACATGGACAAAAGAAAACCTTTCATAATGCCAATGGAAATGTACATTAGTACAGGCATTATGTAAAACAGAATAGAGGTTCTTGAAAAATTAAAAATAGAACTATCATATGATACAGCAACTCCATTTTTGGGTACATATCTAAGGAAAATGAAATCAGTATTTCAAGGGGATATCTTGCATCCTCTATTGCATCACTACTATCAATATCGAAGAAATGTAAACAATTTAAGTGACTAGCAAGTGATGAATGGATACATAAAATGCACATATTCAAAGTAGAATACTATTCATCATAAAAAATGATTAAATCCTATTATTTGTGACAATATGGATGGAACTGGAAATCATATGTTACTCAAAATAAGCCTTGTTACAGAAATACAAGTACCACACAATCACATTAATATGTGGACTCTAAAAATTCTATGAAGCTGAGTATAGAAAGATAACTAGAAGACAACATGCATAGTGAGGCAGGATGGAGGATGCAGAAAATTTGATCAATGGACACTTAGTTATAGTTAAATAAGAGCAAGAAGTTGCCCTGTGCTACTGCATGAGAGAGTGACTAGAACACAATAATATACTGTATATTTCAAAAAGCTATAGGAAAGCACTTTGAAACCTTTCACCATAAAGAAATAATAAATGTTTGAAGATATAGATGTGTTTAAACCAGTTTAAATATTACACAATGCATATTTTTTATGTTTTTATATGTCAAAATAAGTTTTTAAAGGTATCATAATAGACAAGTAGGTCAATATAAAAATAGAGGCTCTAGATATATACTATCTCATATATTGTCAAATGAATTTCAGAAAGGATTCTAAGGCATCATTGAGTAAGTAGCAACTCATCAACAAACAGTTCTGGGAAAACTGGGTATCAATATGAAAAAAACTAATTTAGGGTCTTACTATACATATATTCAAAAATTAACCCCAAATAAATCAAAGACCAAAACATAAGGACTAAAAATGCCAAACTCCTAGAAGAAAATATTGTGGAAGAGCTGTATGGCATTGATGTTCTTTGTGATTTCTTGGTATCTCATACACACACACACACACACACACACACACACACACACACACGCCAAAAACAAAAAACTCGTTGGACTAAAAAAGAATGAATAATCAAAATCTAAAAGAAGAAAGACACTATCAACAAAAGGGAAAGAGAATGCACAAAGTGAGATGAGACATTTGCAAGTCATTTATTTAATAAGTGACTGATGTCCACAACACAAAGAAATCTCACAACTCAACAACATGAGAACCAACAATCAAGTTATATAATGGTTAAGGGATCAGTGTGTACATTTCTCCAAATAACATTTACAAAAAGCTAAGGAAGTACATGAAAAGATAAGGATGCCTGATATACCTAATAATTAGGGAAATGCAAATTGAAACCACCAAGAAGACCACCTTACACTCATTAGAACAGTTATTACTAAAAAAATAAATAAAAGAGAAAATTATGAACATTGCCCACTATGTAAAACAATTAATACCTTTGTGTACTGTTGGTGGGAGTATAAAATTCTATAGCTGCTGTAGCCTGGGCAACAAAATAAGACTCTGTCTCAACAAACAAAGCAAAACCAAAAGAATCATCATGTGATCCAAGAGTTCTAATTTTACTTAAATATGTACCAAGAATGATTGGAAGAAAAGTGTCAAGAGATATTATTACCTTCATGTTCGTAGAAATAGTATTTATGGAAGCAACCCAAATGTCGATTAAAGAATGAATGGATAAGAAATGAATAGTATATACAACAGGATATTATTCATACTTACAAAGGAAGAAAACTCAGATACGTGTTATAATATAAACAAACCTTTAAGATATAGTAATAAGTGAAATAAATAAATCATAGGAGGACCAGGGTTACTTGATCCCTCTTATAGGAGATCTATAGAATAATCAAATTCTAGCAATAGACAATGCAGTGTTGGCTGCCAGGAGGTGGGTTTAGGGGAAGTTGGGAATTAGGGTTTAATGGCTACAATGTGACAACCATGGATAATATAAGCAGTTCTGGAGACGGTGATGGCTGCACAACAGCCTGGAGGTGTTTGATAGAACTATAGGGCTCAAATGCTTTAAATGATTAAAAAATTACATTGTGTATGTTCAACACCAAAATAATATAAGAAAAATATCCAGAGTTGAAGAATAAAAATTTTCACTTTCAAAATGCACGTGAAATTGAATAGAGAAAACTGAACCAATCAAACAAGATCTGTGAGAAAAGTCTCATTGCAATTAGGGAACACTTGAAAACTATGGTTTCAACACAGTAGTGAGAAAGATAGATTCTCAGTACTGCAGTGGAAAAATAAGGCCAAGACCATGGCTGTGCGAGGAAGCAGAATAGTTAAATGTAATTGTGCAATAAAAGGCTCCAACTGGATTGTATTCTTTAAAAAGGTGGATACTTGACATCAGTGGTTTGAATATGAGAGATTTTCAAACAACTTTCCAACAAAAAATAGGTGTAAGAAAGTAAATATATTCTGAATATATTGTGTGGCTAAGCTGTGAGCAGTATTTAAAACATTAAATGTTAATTAGCCTTCAAGTAGTGGTAATGTAGTTCTATGGGGATTATAAATGTGGGAATATGTAAGAGTATGTGTTAGGGAAGATTTATAAGATAATTAAATCTCCATCTTTCACCATAGTAACTTGTAGATAATATACAAATTTGAATAATAAATTTTAACAGAGTAGACATAAAGTTAGGAAATATAAAATTATTGCAAGAGTCAGTTAAATTATTGAATTAAATTGTCTCAAGTAGCAAGAAGAGCAAGTGGGGTGATATGGAGTATAGAGCTACTATTTTTCCTTTCATTCCACTCTGTTTATAAGGCTATGAATTTAAAAGTTTTATAAAAATCAAATTACATTTAATAAAAGATACAAAGCTTTGTGGAATACACAAAATACATGGAAAAAAGAACTGATGAATAAATAGTGACTGGCAAATGAGTAACAGAATTTGGGCAGTTTCCATACAAGAAGAAAAAATAAAAAAGAGATAAGAACAATCCAGGCACATTATGTACAGCTACAAATTCTACTAACAAATGTGATCATTTTGTATATCAAAAGTGTACCAATAAAATTAATTTAAAACAGGGATAAGGTTACCACCATGAGTTTGTAAAAAGAGAAGTATCTGACTATTTAAGATTTAAGAGAATCTCTTGAGAAGATTGATGACTTTCAAGTTATTTTACAAAAATAACTACAATTATATGTAGAAGACAGATATAGAGAAAAATATGTTTTATCTTGTAGCATAAAAGTTGATTAGAAAAAACTGTAAAAAGCAAAAGATAAATCAGTGATATTGATGACCAAAACAATTAAGATAAATGTTATGCACTTTGTAACAATACTATATTCAACATTGATTAATCTGATAACTTCACACATTTGCTAAAGAAAGTATATAGTTACACAGTAACAAAACTATTAAGTCAATAGAATTTCTTCTAGCTAGTTTTTTCTAATTCTCAACTTCTACCCCAAATCAGGCTATCAGATTGTTGATATTGATCCATCTTCTGAAAACATATGACATATATACATACACATGACATATATACATATAATATATATATACCTCTGTATGACATATTTTAGAAAGTACTGAATGAGACAAATATTTTGTCTAAAGTGTCAACATATATTTCATAGTCTCTTGCATTTATAGTTCAACATCCTGAAATTCTAATTGATTTATTGTTTCATTAAGATATATTATTTAAATATAATTTAAATTTTATATAACTAACCTTTTTGGATGAGATGTCTTGATTTTTTTGATTTCCTGCTGTACCTTTTGTTTTTGATTCACATAAAATAGGGGAAACGTCTTTTCTATGTTCAATAGACAGTTTTGCATCAACAGGGGATACATTCTGTAAAAAGAAACATAAAAGCATTAATAGCATTGTGTAAGTTTTAGAGTTTTTGAAAAGCAGTCACATGCATTTTACAGTTATTATTTATGTTTATTTTTAAAAAACTTTGACATAGACAGAAAAAAATGAAAAGAGCTCCATTGTTTATTATTTTAATGAATTGTCTTTCTGCTAACAGTTAGTGATATGACTTGGACAATGCCATATAGAAGATAGAGGGAGAAGTAGGTCTATAAGTTGGGTCCCATAAGTAGTAAACAAACTGATAAGTCAGTGAGCCCTAGGAAGCCAGAAGGGAGGTTCAGAGCAAAGGCAGAGACAAAATTATTTCCAGAACACTGAAAGGAAGTGAATGAAAGGAGAAGAAAATTGGAACAGATTAATAAGTCTAAAAGTGGATCAGACATGAGAGGAATAATACGTGGAAAATTGAAGAGGAGCTTCAAGGGGGCACTCTCAAATGTAAATTTAATAGTGTCTCTACAGGTATATTTTAATAGCATTGTATTCTTTTTTCTGTTCACATTTCATCCAGACTGTTTCGGAGGTTTTACGAGGTCACCAGGGACTCCAATCCTTTCAAAATTCCCATGTAAACTCTATCTTACTGCGTCTGTATAACTTCCATCTGCAAATTTTTTCTAATGAATCAAGACAGGTACTAGACTTCTAAATGCCTTGCTTACATTTTCTTCACGAAGATAAAGGTAGGGGAAATTACAAAGGGGCACATATCATGTGTCTTAAGGAGATTTCCTAGAAGTTCTAATGTTTCTAGTAAAATCCCCTTGGTAACCGAGAACTACAAAGGAGAAGGTAAAGAATGTACCCCTTTGCTAGGAAAAAATAGGGGGTACTGAAGTATAATGGTAAATTGGGGACTTGTTTCCATAAAAGAAAAAATGAGCAGATATTGGCGGGTAATAAATAAATATTTTACTCATCAACACTTGTAAGACAATTTCTTTTCAATATTTATGGGATAATTTTTCTGTTAGAAATACAATTTACATACTTTGAGCTCATATATTCTCTGTATGTTTAGAATATTTTAAGTTTGTGAAGAATAATTATAATAATTCATAATAAAACACATCAAAATATGACACATTTGAAGTATAATTGCTTCTATTTTCTTTTAAATCCAATTCTTTCCATTAAACAAATAGGATAAGATTAATGTATACTACTTGTATTATGCGATTAAATCTGTGACAATCAACTGCTATTGCTTTTTAAACTGCAAATTCTTCTATAAATCCTCTTCAAAATATAGCATCATTCTTATATCTTCCTACTTCCCAATTGTTATGTTCATTACTACTCTGCCTCTCCTTCAATGCAATTCAAATGTACCCTTTTTTAATTTTGGTTACCACATTTTTATCCTACCTATGAAAACAGCGAGTGTTTTCAAATATACTATTTTTGCTAACATTTATTCCTTTATATTCTCCTGAAAGAATATGAAAACAAAAAAATATGCTTATCAAATCTAAAAATCCAATTTCTATTGCAAAGAAGGGTAATTTATAAAATAATGAAATTTAAAAGAAATTAAATGGGGAGTTAGTCACTTCATTTCGAAAATGTTTCCTTTACTTCACCCATTTATCCTTTTTCATGTATCCACTGTCATTACTCATCATCATTTATAAAAATTTTTATTTCCTTGCTTTTATAAAAGAAAAATTCATCACAAAGGATTCAAAAGTTACAGTAGAACAGATGTAGAAGGAGATGATCAGATATCCTAAATCTTTAAATAAACTAAGGCTTAAGGAAACTACTCAGGTAAGGAAAACAAGTCTTTTGTCATATATATAATTCAAGCAGGAAAAGAAAGTGTGTGAACACTTATTGTTTGGTCTATGAGATCACAGAGAGGGAAAGGTTAACAGAAGATTCCGAATGACCTAATAAAGACTTTGCTTTCAATAATAAATGTATATGCTATTACCTATAGCACCTTAAACCTAACACTGGTCTTCAATAATTTTAGGGAATATTTTGAGGACATTTGATAACATTTAACCAAGGAATATTATAAGCTGAAACCAAATCAGCTACCTCAGATATTATTTTGTTTGTAACTGGATAAAAGAAAATTCAGATTCACATATCCATGGTATGATAAACCTGCAATTATCAATATATCTGATATTTCATTACTTGTGAAGTGTCAGTATTATTCTGTGGAGATCAGAGAGCTTAAGTGACCACGTGAATAATAAAATGCTGCTGCCCAGAGAAACATCTCTAATGTCATGATAAGTGGATTTGTTCTCAGCCCAAACTCGATCAATATTATTACATATAATTTGAATGACAACTTGTGAGAAATATCTATCAATTTCCTGATGAGACGGTAAAGGAACAGATTCACTTCACACCAAATATAAACCTACAATATTAGTCACAATAAAATACTGGAGCAGTAAATTAAATTAAGTAGATAAAATTAAATAGGCATAAATATTGCAGTAGGGTAAAATATATGTAGTCACTTGAATACATTGTTTGATCTAAAACATAAGTGAGAAGAGGACAAAGTCTCTCATTTGAGATTAAATTAACATGGAATTCATCAAATGCTGAGATCCTAAATTATATTAGCCTTTCATTCAGAATGAGGGAAATGATAGACTTGTCATATTCATTTCTGACCAGAACCATAATTAAAGCATTATGTCAAGTCAAGGAAACATTTTCAGATGGAACATGAACAGAGAGCAAGCTATCTATATACCCACATAAGTAGCCATGTATAAGTCTAAGTAAAGAAAGGTTAAGTAAGAGAGCTTCAGGCTCCCACTATCTCACTTTTTCCAATAGCCATCTTCCTTATATTGGAAACTATAAATCTATTGTTTAAATGGGAAAAACAGAGTATGTTGTCTAACCCTTCTTCTGAAAATTTTGTTTAAGCCATTTGCAAATCCTGGCAATTCTGGCTCCAAAATAGATTTCAAATTGATTCATTTCTTTCCATTTTCAGTATTATGTAGGGAAGGTTGTAATCATCTCTATTTAATCATAAATACATCCTAATGAAATTTATAAAACAATGTTATTTTACAAAATACATATACACTGGTCAAGGTATAAATCTGATCGTTTCTTTTTAATTTTAAATTCTCTGACACCTACCCAACATTTTAAGTCTTTACAATGAGCTACAAAAACTCAGCAACATATGACATTCCGCTGATCCTATAGCCAAACATCTCATGTTACTCTCAACTTTATTATACCCCTGCATGGCAGATTTCATTCAGTTCCTTGAATGCTTTCCAAACAAATCAAGCTCAAATCCTTGTGCGATTTCTTTCTTCGTCTTAGAGCATTATCCTTCCCATACTTTGCCTGGTTTGCTCCTTTTCCTTCAGGTTTTAAATATTATCTCTTCCAAAAAACATTCTGGACCAACCCTATGAGAACTAATCTCCATTTTCTTATTCTTTACTCAAGACACTACTTGTTTTATTTATAATGTTTATCGCAAAGTTTGTTTACTTAGGTTACATTTTACCCCTAGAATCCAGCCACAAAGGCAAGGACTTCACTTGGGGTATTTACTCAGAGCTGTGAATTATCTCTGGCACTCAGTACTTATAGTAATTTATCAAATGTTAAATGAATACCAGTGCCAAACAGACAAACAATAAGGAATGGGTGGAGTTTTACGAACTTTGGTTCAATATAATATAAAGTGGAGCTGCATTCTTTGGAGATAGCCCAATAACAATAAATAATTGTAGAAGAAAATCATAGATTGTGTTTTTATCATATACTATCCCCATGCACTTTCAGCGTTTATTTCTGAATTTGTTCATACTTTACAGTTACTCCAAAGCTTTTTACCCAGCAAATCTTAGTAATTCTTACACTGACTTCTCCTAAGCTATTTATCATGTACATTCACTTGGACCCTAAAATTTCTAGGATTTCTTCTGGCTTACCAGTGCCTGAATTTATTATATGCACAGAATAATAGATAGGAATAATTATATCTTTACATGAATACATATCTCTATCTGTTCCATTGATTCTTCATCATAATAAAGAACCAAAATAGTAATGAAGCCCTTCTTACATGAAAGAGCTCTTCTCGAGAATAGAGAAACAATGAAAATATTCTATAAAAGGCATGAAAGTGGAAGATACATACATATATTAATAAATTTCACCCAATCATCATAAAAATATCTCATGGGGTTACTAAAAATTGAAATAGATTAGCTGAGGATGGATAGAGTTTCTTGTCACTGCCAAAATAGGGAGACAACTGAAAAAGTAGTTTCTTGCAACTGCAAAAATCTGGTTGTTGAAAAATAGGTGAGTGACTATACTAGATATTTATTTCTCTAAAATGATTTTTATTTAAAAATTGAAGAGCGAGTGAAAATTATAACATTTCCCTCTTTTAGATCACGAGTAAATATTCTATACTGAATTCTTTTATCACTGAAACCTAAAGTGCATTTAAAAACTTTCATTGTTTTTTCTGAACTTACATGAGTTAATGTTCATTAAGCTTGTAATTTGGGCTTCAATTTGGTGTTATGCAAACGAAAGCGCTTCCACTTTAAAGAAAATTACAAGTTTTTGATCAAAGAAGTCTGCTAACACAAAGCCACTCTACATCGCTGTACTCTCTATACCTCATCTGAACAACCACATGCTCTGCTGACATTTCATACTGTCCGTTGTAAAAGGCTCTTTACAATAACAGAAAAATCACCATCCACGTGGTTTCCCCTTCTCTTGTTTTGTTTTCTCTTTCCTATTTACATTCATGACATTGTTTTTTTGTTTGTTTCCTTTTTTACTAGTATGTGTTTTTGACACATCATAATTTCATTCACCTAGGGAAAATGGAACGTATACATGTGGTATCTTAATCATTTTTACTTCCACTTTCTCCCTGCCTTCCTAACCTCTCCCATCCCTAGATCCCCTTCCTATCTCCACAAGGTCTGCCTCTGTTTCCTTTT